AACACTTTAAGTTCTAAGACTTTGGACAGATTAGCATCTCTAAGTGCTATACTAAGGTTTGGATATATGTTGAAATAGACTGGACCATGTGAGAGGCTAGTTTCTATAGCTACCATAAGTGATGCCCTCAAAAAGAGACATTGACCGTCTCGAAGAGTACACTACTGAAAAAAAAAAAGTGAGATACTAAGAAATAAAAATATTTCTTAGGGCCTTATGGGTCCTGTCAAGCTATCATGTATATTATTGACACTTTTTTATGATTAAATTATGAGTATCTAGAATAATTTTTTTTATTGAAAAATGATTCAAATAATATATTAGACTCTATCTCTATATAATAGAAAGTAGTTATATGTCAGTCTATTTCAAATTGACCGTTCAACTTAAAAATCACTGATTTTTTTATATATTTTAAGTTGTTAAAAGAAAACAAACATTCATATATGTAACAGAAAAATTAGAAAATTAGATTTTTCGGAAATTTATTCAAAATATTAAATTCAATTATGTATAGTTAGCCTTACATTTGAAATAAAATCATCTAATATTTGTTTTAACATCTCGTTTGTGTTTAATTTATGCAATTGTAATATTATAGGTTGAATACTTTAGCGACGTGAGAATGGAATCAAGACTAGAGCATTTGAAGAGAGCAGCAGCGAAAGGACGCGTGGAGGCCTCATACGTGTACGGTATGATCCTCCTCTCTAGCGATGGGCAATCAACAAAACAAGGCAGAAAGCTTCTAAATGCAATGAACAGTACTTGGTCAAATTCAAAGAGCTTAAGAATCCAAGAGTGCAGAGAAAGAATCAAACCCATTATTCACACAATGTGGATCAATAATCATATGGTTAGCCAACAAACAAATTTCTGTTGTCATGGTAAAACTCGAAGCATCACAGTGAGGGAGACATGGAGAGGTTGCGAAGAAAAGGATGACAACATGAGCTGTGAAGCTTGTAAATGGGATAGAGAAGTCAACTTGTTCTGTAACATGTTAATGGGTAGGAGTGTTTAGATTATTTATAGAAGTTGTGCTATATAAATACAGAAATCAAATATAGGTCTCTTTTGGTAACTTGGTTAAAAGTCAGTTTATTGATTTTTTAACTTTATTCTAAAGCCTATTTTGGACAGTAACCCTATCCAAAATAGGCATTGGAATAAAAATAAATGGACATAGTACAACACATAGACAAAAATCAACACTATCAGAAGTGGGAGAAACATGGAGGAGAGGCCCGGAAGAAGAGGATGACAACATAAGTTGTCAAGGTTGTAAATGAAATGAAGAAGTCAAACTTGCTTTGCAATGTTACTTCCTAAGATTGTTTAGATCATTTTATTTATTAATTAATTATGATTATGGTATGTTCAACTCTATGGCTTCAATGGGATACCATTTTTTTTTTTTTAATTACCACGAGATTTGTCATGAAAGATTGCTAAATTTATATTCCTTAGATAATCATAGACCTATATGTTAACTTAGTGATTGAACTCAGTGACTTGAAAGGATCATTTTTTTATCCAAAATTCAAATGGCTGTTATTAATTTTCTTTAATTGACAATGATTTTTTTTTAAAAAAAAAATTGATGATGAAATTTAAATTTCAAAATATATATATATATATATATTGAACTCCAAAAAAAAGACTCGTGGAATATCATAATATTCGTGGATTCTGGTTCTAGAGTAACTAATTGCTGGTTATATTTAATTCAACCCATAGGGAAAAAACTCATCACCGAGGCAACCAATTGACATTCTTATGTACTACAAAAGAGGCTAAGCTTTGACTAGATTACAATACAAAGTCCCGCAGAGAGAGCGTGCCTCACAGGATTCAAACCTGACTCACCTTTGTGAAAACACAATGTGTTGTCCATTTGATGGTGGAAGAATTATATGTTGTATGACTGATTGTCTTAGTAGACAAAAATGGGAGAATTATGTTGACATGGTGTCGATAAAATATATTTTCCAACAAAAAATATTATAAATATTTTTATTAATTTATAATTCTTTTCCTCTAATAACATTGTAAAGTAATTATCCAAACAAAAATTAAGTTTCATACAAAATGACTAATTTAAATATCCATATTGGACATGACATTGATGTTAATAATATTTGTAGGGGGGTTCAAGGTTAGAGGGGTGATTAGAGAGGCAAAACTATGTTAATGGTCTAATAATGGTGGAAATGGTTGGAGAATGAGTAGCAGCAACTATCTGGGAGTTGGAGAGTGTGTAGTTGGGTAAGGGTGAAGCAAGTGGCTCAAAAAGAAATGTATAGTAGTACCAAAATGGGCAGCATCTCCCCCAAATCCAAAAAATTCCTCTTTTGAACCTTGGTACCAAGAGGACACCAAGTGGCCAAACAGAAAGAGGACATGTGTCCCAGAGGATCACACTGAATATTCTGCCTTGAGCCACCAAGTTGAAGGTGCCACGTGTCCCTCTGCATGTACTGTGTACTATATGTTTGCCTCTTCAACTACCTTTTTGAGCCTTAGCAAGTGCAGTTACAGCGGGAGTGTTTGCCTCTGCACTTGCCTTCTCAACTTGAACCTTAGTAAGTGCACTAGCAGCAGTGAACCTTGCCGCTACACTTGCCATCTTAGTTCTATTTGGCCAGTAAAGGCATTCTAAGGACTCTATTAGTCTGCTATAGACTATCTTCGTGCTCACCTCAGCGAAGCCTCCACCGTTAGCCACCTAATCACAAACTCCCTAACTTTCCAGGGCGAAGGCCACAACTAAGTCTGCTATCAGCCATGTTGTGCCTTAGTACCAAGCCTAAGGGGGTTTCCTTAGTCCTTCCTATGTAACTAAGGCAAGTCCATGACCTGAGTAATGGAAATGGAGTCCCTTATGCTTGGGCTACCTTGCTCGAGGAGATAAGGATGATCAACTCCAAACCAATCAGGACACGCCACCTGTCTTCCTCATCCTTCTCTTATTATCTTTTATTTTCTATATAAGGGATGCCTCACCCTTGTTGATGGCACGAGTTGTAAGAAATATAATATCAGTTTGAAGTGTGCTCTCTCCCTCTCTCTCTCTTCAAAAAGTGTGTACTCCTCCTTTCTCTTTGAAGTATAATAAAAACCTGAAGTGCTTGTTATAAGTATTTTCTTTCATCTTTTTTAATGTATGAGTTCTATTGATATACTTGTTATCTTGCATGAAATTTTAGATTTTCATATTCAAAGAAAAAATAATTATTTAAATTTTCTTACTACATTCCCTAATGACCCCTGGGGTCTCCAGCAATTAGAATACAGTAACAAAACAGATAGAAAAAACTCAATCTCAGATACAGGAACAGATAATTGCGTGGGCGGCCGCCGGAAGGCCTCCACCACCTATACAATAAAATCATGAGGCCATATATGGCATAATTAAGATAAAATAAAATAAAACTATGGACAGTAGTCTTCCTGGGTTGGTGCTAATTGAGGGTAGAACAGTGTAAGGTTGAGTGAGACGTCAACCAAGTCAAGTATAGTCAGAGCATTAGCAGTGATTGCGGTTAGGTCATTTGATCTCGTAAGTCGTTGACAGACATGCTTAGCTAAACCCTATGTCAAGCACCGCAATTATTAGTATCAGAGCCAAGTTGAATTTTGGTCATAGTTTGTTTTATTTAATTTTAAATATACATATATGGTCACATACAACCATACATGAGTATTGTACCTTCAGAAGACATAGCCAATACAGTATACAATACAGTAGCTAATACAATAGCTTCTACATCAGAAGCCAGAGAGCTTGTAGCTTACCAGGATGTTAAGGAAGCCCTAGATAAGTGGGCTATCCCTAAGGTCAAACTAGATACTATGTATAAGATAGGAACATTTGACTTTTCTAGTAGAAAAATAATCAAAACCTTTGAACATGCAGTATCTATCCAGCATGAGGATGAGATCATGTATCTCCACCATATACAGGATCTCTATCCTTTTTTATAGAAATATAAGTATGTCCACATAGGACTTGTCCAAATAGCCTTTAAGCCTTTGACTCTATTAGGTCAAAATACCAGTATCCAGTGTACTCTTTGAGATGGTTAATGTCTCGATTGGAAAGCATCACTTATGGAAGCTATAGAAACTAGCCTCTCACATGGTCCAGTCTATTTCAACATACATCCAAACCTTAGTATGGCACTTACAGATGCTAATATGTCCAAAGTCTTAGAACTCAAAGTGTTATCCAATGGTTATGAATATCTTCCAGGATCTCCACCCTTTGTGGTAATTTCCAGAATTTATCTTAAAGTTTTAACAACTTTAAATATATATCAGAAAACGGAGTGAGTTAGGATATACACATTGCGTTTTCACAAAGGTGAGTCAAGTTTGAATACTGGGAGGCACGCTCTCTCTGCGGGACTTTGTATTGTAATTTGATCAAAGCTTAGCCTCTTTTGTAGTGCATAAGAATGTCAATTGGGTGCCTCGGTGTTGAGTTTTTTTTCCTATGGGTGGAATTAAATATAACCAGCAATTAGTTACTCCAGAACTAGAATCCACGAATATTATGATATTGCACGAGTCTTTTTTTTGGAGTTCAAAATATATATATATATATATATCTTCCATTTTTTTTTATTAATACAATCGGTTATGCTTATGAAAGGAAATGTTTGAAATTTCAATTTCATCATCAATTTTTTTTTTAAATCATTGTCAACGAAAGAAAATTAATAATGGCCATTCGAATTTTGGATAAAAAAATGATCCTTTCAACTCACTGAGTTCGATCACTAAGTTAACATATAGGTCTGTGAATATCTGAGGAAAATAAATTTTGTTGTACTATGTCCATCTATCTTTATTCCAAGGCCTATTTTGGATAGGATTACTAAGATTGACTTTAGAATAAAGATAAAAAAAAATCAATAAACTGACTTTTAACCTAGTTACCAAAAGAGACCTATATTTGATTTCTGTATTTATATAGCACAACTTTTATAAATAATCTAAACACTCCTACCCATTAACATGTTACAGAACAAGTTGACTTCTCTATCCCATTTACAAGCTTCACAACTCATGTTGTCATCCTCTTCTTCGCGGCCTCTCCATGTCTCTCTCACTCTGATGCTTCGAGTTTTTCCATGACAACAGAAATTTGTTTGTTGGCTAACCATATGATTGTTGATCCACATTGTGTGAATAATGGCTTTGATTCTTTCTCTGCACTCTTGGATTCTCAAGCTCTTTGAATTTGAACAAGTATTGTTCATTGCATTTAGAAGCTTTAGGCCTTGTTTTGTTGATTGCCCACCCCTAAAGTGGAGGATCATACCATATGCGTATGAGGCCTCCACGTGTCCTTTCTCTGCTGCTCTCTTCAAATGCTCTAGTCTGGATTCGATTCTCATGTGGCTGAAGTATTCAACCTATAATATTACAATTGCAAAAATTAAACAAAAACGAGATGTTAAAAAAATATTAGATGATTTTATTTCAAATGTGAGGCTAACTATACATAATTGAATTTAATATTATGAATAAATTTATGAACAATCTAATTTTCTAATTTTTCTGTTACATATATGAATGTTTGTTTTCTTTTCACAACTTAAAATATATAAAAAATTGGTTTTTAAGTTGAACAGTCAATTCAAAATAGACTGACATATAACTACTTTCTATTATATAGAGATAGAGTCTAATATACTATTTGAATCATTTTTCAATATAAAAAATTATTCTAGATACTCATAATTTAATCATAACAAACTGCCAATAATATACATGATAGCTTGACAAGACCCATAAGGCCCTAAGAAATATTTTCATTCAGAAATATAAGTATGTCCACATAGGACTTGTCCAAATAGCCTTTAAGCCTTTGACTCTATTAGGTCAAAATACTAGTATCCAGTGTACTCTTCGAGATGGTCGATGTCTCGATTGGAGAGCATCACTTATGGGAGCTATAGAAACTTGCCTCTCACATGGTCCAGTCTATTTCAACATATATTCAAACCTTAGTATAGCACTTACAGATGCTAATCTGTCCAAAGTCTTAGAACTTAGAGTGTTATCCAATGGTTATGAATATCTTCCAAGATCTCTACCCTTTGCGGTAATTTCCAGAATTTATCTTAAAGTTTTAACAACTTTAAATCCTTATATCAGAAAACAGAGTGAGTTAGGGCATACAGTCCTGATAGACACCAACCTTTTCAGTAGCCAAGTTGCAGTGCCAAAAATGATACCGTGGCAAGAAATAAAATTTCTAGATAGATGGTAGATAAACCAAGCTGTTCCAGCTCGGCCAATTGTCTAACAAACATGGGATGAAGTAATCCATTCACAAGGATGAAATGTTTACCTTACCTTTAAAAGGCCACAAAGGTCTTTATCCAAAAGTATATCTAGTACCAGTTATATAACTGCTCCATCTTATAGTGTAGATTTACCTGAGTCTTCCAGACAATCGTTATCTGAACCAACTGAGTCGGTCTTACAAGGAATGTCCTCAAGACCAACCTCCAGACCTCCAAGTGATACACAACAACCTGAACCTACAGTTGATCCTATAGTTCAGGGAGTTTAATTTTCAGAGAATCGAATACCACATGGTATTTATGAATCCAGAAGGCCTTATAGCTCTACAGCCAATGATATGAATTTTGAAATCTAATGGATTTTACACCAGGAAGTACAATTAGAAAACCCTTAAATGAGGATCTACAGAAAGAAAAATACAGAACATTTAGAGAATGGTATTTTAGTTACCATGCGCCTCTCTAGTTAGAATAATATAAAAACCAATATTATGTTCATTTAGAACAACATCAAAAATTACAGTCTTTTCCTTAGTGGTATGTTGAAAATATCACTCCTACAGAATCTCAGATTAATGTCATTGAGAATATGCAGAAAACTTAGGTCACCATCGATGGTCAAAGTTTTACTTCTGTCCATCCACCAACCCAACCCCTGGAGTTACAACCATTAAGCAGTAATACCAAACCTTTAGCCATTGCTGCTTATATGGAAGTTCCACCCCAATCACAAAATAGGGATCCTATTCTCATTCAGGATATGGTACCTATATTCAAACAGCATAATTATACAAATCTGTTTTTCCAAACAGCTGGCAAACAACTCACCAGAGTTGAAGAAACTATTAATCATATTAAAAACAGTTGTCACTTACAGCCAAAATCTGAAGTTAAAACTGAAGTTATTCCAGTAACAATTAAACCTCCTTTAGAAGTAACTAAATTTAAGTTATCTTCTACTAAGAAAGATACAGAATTCAAGGATACTCTTGTTGATAAGATTAAAAGTCTTAAAATTGGAGAATATTCTTCTATTAATATGTTATCCACACAACATAATCCAAATGAAGAAAATTTAACACTTTCTCAAATTACAGAAATTGAAAATAATTTTCAAGAAAATCCAACCTTCATAAACATAGTTCATTATGGAGAAACTTCCAGAAATTCTTGTAGGACTGCTCCAACGAGATATTATTACCCTTGAAACAGTCCTATGCATCTTATAGCGATCCCGGTTTTCTCTAGTGTTGTTGAGTTGTGATCCGGACTTGGTTCCGTAGATCTGTTGTTTTCATATCCTCATTTCTATCCCTTACTCTTTGTTTTAGAGTTTTGGGTTGTGTTGGGCGTGTTTCGAACAGGTTGGTTGAGCCTTAGTCCCATTCCTTGTCACCTAGATTTTTGGTGGTACGCTCAAGCGGCTCTCTTTACGCTCGAGCGGGGTTTTCACAGTTCCTGTATTTCGTGCCTCTGCAAAACTTCTGCAGGTGTGTTTTTCACGCTCGAGCGGGTTTCATTACACTCGAGCGGGTCGAGCTCGAGCGGGTCTGTTGGCGCTCGAGCGTGGTGAGCATTGTCGGTGAGGATACTGAGAGAGGAGAACTTACGCTCGAGCGGATTGGTTTTCGCGCTCGAACGGGTGTACTTTATTCTTGTGTCTTGGCGCTCGAGCGGTCCTTCTTACGCTCGAGCGTGCTTATTTTTTTTGTCCTTGACGCTCGAGCGTTGTGTTCTCCGCTCGAGCGGGAGAGTCGTATACCAGTTGGCAACTAGGCTATTTTAAATCAACTTTTACATTTCCTTTCTCTCTCTTACTTTCCCAAAATCAATTTTTGAGAGCTCCTCACTCTAAAACCTAACTTCTCTCTAGGGTTTGATCTAGTAGGAGTGTTTTCCTCACCTTTGGCCTTTACAAAAAGTGTGTTGATCATTGAGGGCTATATTTTGATCCGAGAAATTTGGTGTTTGGAGCACTTTCGAGTTTAGCTCTTCTTCTCCTTGGGTTCTACATTTGAGGTAGGGATTTCCTTGTTCTTTTTCAATACTCCGTCTATAGATAGACATGTGGTAGTTTTGTATTGCATAAAAATCATATACATGTTGGATTTGTTTGAAATCATGAGAAGGAACCTAGGGTTGGGTGTTTGAAAAATGGTTATGTTATCATTGATGGTTGTTTTGGGCTAATTGGTGTGTAAATTAGCATGTTGTAGTTGAAAGAAGGAAAAGCCCTAAATTATATTTTGATTTGATAAATTAAAATGGAGGATAGTTAACCTATAATGTAAATCTCTATTGTTAATGTGAGTTGGGTGAAGGTGTTAATGCCTAAGGGGTTAACTTTGGCTTTGGTATGGTTTTGAAATGAATGTAGTGGACTAATGTGAGTTATGGCTTTCTTATCAATGAAATTGGTTTTTGTAAAACAAAAGGAATGGATTTGGTTTTGTGACGACAAAAGGAACGGAGTTGGTTTTGTGAAAACAAAAGGAAATGGAACTTGTTTTGTGAAATGGGAAAAGTATTTCTGAAATACGTATGAAAATTGGATTGTTGTTTCTTGAGTGTTGAACACACACATGTGAGGGATTGTATCTTTAACTACCATGTTAATGTTGTTGTTGAGTTTGTGGTCTCATAGTAATTGAGTCTTTAATAGATGTACTAAATATTTGCATCTAGAGGTTTTGTCCTTGGTCATCGGTGGAGGATGACACGGTTGTGTTGAATTGTCGTGTATGCATTATACCATTGTTGATGGAACATCGTATGTGATGAAGTGTTGAGATACATTATATATGTATGCTTGCTCGGGAGGAGGTAGTTATGTGTTCATATACTTTAACACATTGCTTGTATCTTGATGGTTTGTGTATATGTGTTATACATGTTGATTATGCCCTATTGTGTTGGGTTGGTGGTGTTATACCTTGCACTGAAAATCAGAGGTACCGTGACCTTCCAGCTAGCGCCTGGAGAACTGACTGTGCTGGGAATTGAAGGCACCATACCCTTCCAGCTAGCGCCTGGTAAACTGGCATGTTGTTGTGAGAGGTGTATCTTTGGCTTACTACGCACATAGCTAGTAGAGCAAAGTTTTGTTGTTGATGTTTCAGTGTGTCTGGGAATATCATGGGTTGTGTTGATTACGGTTTTGGATGGCCGAGTTGCCTCATTGGCTTATCTTATGCATGTTGGTGAGTTGTGATCTCCCTTTTTATAACGGTGCATGTATAGATTTGATTGTATCGGGAAGAAGCCAAAATGTCTTTTTTTGTCTTTTGGAAAGTATGAAGGAGAACGGATATTTTAAAGAGATATATGTTTTGAAAAGGCATATCTGTGTATGTTTGGAAAATGGAAGAGAGTTGTGGGCTTTGCAAATTTATTTCCTAAGGTATTGTTAATGTTATGAAAGATTGGGAATGGAGATTAATGAAAAGAAAAGGAAAGATGAATCGCCTATGGCGTTGATTGAAATGGTTGTTTTCAAGAAAAGTTCATACTTATGTATATTTTGGACAAACAGTCACATTACTATTCTAGTATGAGATTGAGCGTTCATGAACATAGCTATCTGTAAGTTGTTATTGTTCAGGGCCATGTTGAGATCCCTGCTGGACTATATGTTCATCCCACGTTGTTAAATCTTTTTCAGGTGTTGAGCTGAATGTGCTGCAAGATTTGGATCTTCTTAATTGTTGGCCACGGGGCCTCCCTTGTATTGGCAGAATGTCGTATGTGTAAAAGGGTTATACCCTTCTTCTTGATTTGTTAATGATGTAAGCCCTAGGGCAATTTATTGATTATACTCATGTTGTATTTATTTGCATACGAATGAGCGCAATGTTATTCACTTTTATGAGTTGAATATACGAGTTTATTTCCGCATGTGATCTCTGAAATGGAAATAAGTAAGTGAAATTGGTAATACTTCGAGTAATAAAAAGTGAGGCGTGACAACTTGGTATCAGAGCGAGCCGGGTTTGAATACTTTGGGCTCGTGGGAAGTGGTTTTTACCACAGTGGGTTTACTACGTACAGTGAGGACGTTACATATAGATATTATGAAAATTAGGACTTATGTGTTGCATTTATGTGAGCATGGGATTCAGTCTCTCGGATAGTATTCATAGCTGGTGAACTTGCTTTGAGGTTCTTTTGGAAACACGCCTGATCAACGTGGTTTCTGATAGGAATTCCTTGAGAGTTCCGGGATGAGTGGCAATCTTTGTGGACTGGATTCGATTATGTGTTTATATGTTTAGATGATTACATGCAATAGAGGTGTATATTTTGTGACCAAGTGAGTCTTGTGACTTAATAGTAGTAGAGTGTGCCTTGGAGAAGGCTATTGTGTTGTGCACTAAGCGTGGTATTTGCTTTTGTGCTTTATAGGATGTCTACACGAGGAAGTAGAGGATGGTTGAGTAGTAGGAGTGTCGGTAGGGGCACAACAGCTCCTTTAGCACCCACCGTTGCAGCATCGGCTGTCGGCGTATGAGAGCAGTGCAAGACGTCCTGGCTCGCACTAAGGGCGGCAACGGGCATGCTCTCAAGCTTACTAAAGAGTTTTTCCACTCCGGCCCACCAGAGTTTATGGGGGAGGCTAAACCGTTGGAGGCAGAGTGTTGGTTGGAGTAGATTACCAAGACTTTTGATATGCTCAGAGTCGAAGAGGAGGAGTTGAGGGTTTCTTTGGCGACTTTTCAATTGAAGGGCGATGCGAGTTATTGGTGGAAGTATTCTAAGAATACCGTAGGTAGCACGTGGGTTGCTTTTACCGAGGCCTTTTGGGCCAAGTATTTCCCTCCTTCTGCTCAGGAAAGGTTGAGGGATCAGTTTTTGGAGTTGCGTTAGGATAATACTCCTGTGGCACAGTTTGAGATGCGGTTTACTAGTTTGTCGAGGTTTTCTCCAGAGTTGGTGGCAACAGAGGAGCGTCGTTGTTATGAGTTTGAAAGGCGGTTGTGTTTCGATATTCGGGAGAAGGTAGCTGGATCCTTTTGGAAGGATTATTATAATTTAGTCGAGGCAGTGGCCCATGTGGAGGCCATGGTTGTGAGTGATGGTCGGGATAGGGAAGAGACCATCTCAGTAAGTCCTACGGTTCCTAAGCGCTCTAGGCTCAGTACGGGGTGGAGGCGGAAACATGCTCAGTCAGGGGCAAATTTCTTTTCTTCGCCAAGGGTTTCGAACTCTTCTGTTGGGAGGTCCGGGGAGGTGCAAATTTCAGACCAGTCTTAGAGTAGGGGGTCTGGTGGTTGTTTTGTTTGTGGTCAGCTGGGCCATGGTAGACGTTTTTGTCCTTTGCGTGTAAATTCTTCGGGTGTTTCAAAACCCAGTCAGACTCAGTTGTACCCGTCTAGTCAAGGGCGCTATCGGTAACAGAAACGGGCAGGCCAGGCTTCGGGAGCCTCGCGAGGGGCGACTTATTAGTTAGTCCTATGGTATTACCCTGGAGGGGATTTTTGTGTTATTGACCGGTGATGTATTATATGAATCATTTTGTTGTTGACCGGTGTACTGTTGGATGCTGAGGCACCATGTTTATGTATCGCTTATGTATGCATATTGTTGTTTGTTTAACCCTCATGTATTGGGGAGCATGTATGGAATCTCGAATCCTCTTTTTCCTATTGAGGAGTTGTTAATGGGATCAATGATCCTGATGTTGTTGCTTGCTTGGTACCTGT